ATTAAGTAAGCAGAAAACAAAGGTATATATGAACCTGCTCAGAATAAAAATACTAATTTTTTTTCTTGCTGATCTCAAAAAATGTGTTAAAGGTCAAGCCAAAATTTTTCTGAATTGTTTTTGCTTGAGCCACATTTTAGAGGTAAAAATTAATAAAATATTATAAATCTGTAACAGTGTTTCCATATAGTATTTTTTCTTTATTATAACTACTCCATGATTTGAAGATATGAAGAATTACATTGCATTTTATAAATATTTTTATAAATCTCAGATTTTTTTACTATATGCTGAAAATACTGAAATTTCTTGAAGAATTTTTTTTTTACTTTTATGTTTATTTAATGCATTTATGAACTTGAAAAGGAAATCTTTTTTTCATAGGTTGGGCTGACCTTGAAATTTAAAGCACTGGGGCATGACAAATAGAAGTCAACATTCAAACTATACAAAGATATGTAAGGATGGTTTGCTTTGTTGCAAAGTTACCCTTGTAATCACACCTTATGTATTGTGAATGACAGCAGTTATTCATAAATTCTGAAAATGTTTACATAATCTGATAAATTGTTGGAGTAACTAATTATTCTTTTTTTTATTGCTATAGTATTTATCAGAGTTTAGAAATCAACTCTACAAATAACAGTGAAAAGAGTGAACTATCTCAAATCATCAAATAATATTTATACAAATGGAAAGAGCAATTGGGTTTTTGCACATCTTCACATATCCAAGAACAATTCAGTTCACAAGGATGAAGTTTATGAAAATGTGGAATATCATACTGAGGCTGGAAGCATTGTCTTTTCTTCATTATTTCTTCTTGTCTTTTTTTTTTTTAACCTTTTCTTCTGTTAAGGTGTATCTTTGCAATAGAGCCCTACTACATTGGCAGGGTATCTTGGCAAGGGCTCAGTAGTGCCATCATAAAGATTTAGTCTGGCACAAAGCAGAGCAAAGACTTTCTGGGTTTACCCATAATAAACTCCAGCATGATTTCTTTCTGCCTAAGAAAATTAATAACAGTCATTTTTAAAATTTTTAGTAAGTTTTACATAATGATTCAATATAAACATCCAAGTTGCTCCATCACTTCCACAAACTAAGCAAGTGAACCAGGTGCCTGTTGCCAGAAATTTCTGTGTCAAAGGATTTATTTTGTTCAGTAAATAGTGCACTTCTTTCCTTCACGTACAAGAATTTACATGAGCTTTAAAATTATATCAGATTGTGACACGCAATAGTGTAAGTTAGAAAGCAAAGGTATTAGTTAAATTATTTTTGCCTGAAAATAATATCTCCATGGTGTACTTTTTTTGAAGATACTGCAGTTGCTATGCATAGCAAAGTATTAAAAGAAACATCTATAGTCAAACAAATTTATAGTGGAACTTAATAAAAAGCATACAGAGCCAGAAGAAAGAAAGAAAGCTCCAAATAGATGTTTTGTTATATGTTACCATAAGAGTGATGTTTTGATAGAAATCTTATAAAAGTCTTCATAAAATCTTTTAGTTTATTTTTCTTCTAAAGAAATGCATCATTACTATAGTAATTGCATGTAAAACTGGTTTAGTCTAAGGTATACAGGAAAAAAACAAGATACACTAATGATAGCATGGTACAGGTACATATCATGGTATGTAAAGGTTTGTTCTTTTCTCATTGGTTTTGCATGAAGCATTACAAACAGAAAATTTGAATTTATCAACTTTACTAGTATTGCTTGCTTTAAAGTAAAATAGTACAAAGCAGTGTGCACAAGAAAGTCATATAATTGTATGCTTGGAACACCAGTGCAAAGAGGTCAAGGAACAAGAACTTTTTTTTTAATTTTCGAGAAACTCACTAGCAAAAGCAATCAAATACTGTAGGACAAGCTAGAAATGACAGATCTTCTTTGGATGACATGATCAAGAGGATTATGCTATTTCTTGAGACACCATAATTTCTGGAGAGAGAGCACTCTGCTCCCCAAAGCAAACAGCGTGGTTGTCCTCTCAAAATAACTTGGCAGTTACAGACTCTTTTCAGTAAATCCATTATTGCTGACGCTGAAGTACTTCCAAAGCAGTTAACCACTGCTAGAAAATTAAGTCAGCCTGGAAAGATAGAAGGTGGCAGTTGTCACCTGCAGTACAGAGAAGTGTAGCAGTTACAGTATAAGGGAGAACTCTGAAGCCAGAGTAAAATGCCAATCCTTTCATTGTGTACTTGGTAAGACCTGGAGTACAAATACTTCAAAATGGGTTTAGCAGTTATAAAAAAAAAAAAAAAACAAACAACCCAAAAAAAAAAAAAAAAAAATTAGATTACAGCCATAAAGATTACAAGAGGTCTATGATTTCTAAGTACACATTTGATTTTAACTTCCACTCCCTCCACACCAATTATTTTTCTTTATGCTTAACCAGGGATCTTCATTTGTAAAAGAAGAGATCATTCACTCATTTTGGATCCATAGAGAAGGCAAGAAAAATGGAAAACATTCAGACCATGGAAGACCTCTCTTGTACAGATCAACCTCTCCTGCAGTTCTTTCTGTCATCAAAAAGACCTTTTTTCAGGACTGCACTTTTTGTTTAACACAGGAAAGTTGATGAAAAACTCAGACACTTGAAAAAATAAAGGGAATAAAGAACAACAGAAAGTATTGAAAATCATTTTGAATGCTCACTTCATAAACAAAACTACAAATGTTTCTCTCTGGTCAATGACTGCAGGGGCTTCTAGCACAAAGAACAACAAATTCAGCTGACTTGTTATGCTCTTAGAACAGTGCCAGAATCCCAGTATAGGTTGGCAGAAGAGGGAGATTGATTGACTGTAGAGTAGCAAGACAAAGGGAAAAACAAATGTTCTGTATTTGCTGTCCTTGACATCCAAATCCCCAGTGCTCTGGTTAAGTGAACTCTTGCTAAGATGAGAATGCAACAAATCCTAACAATTCTTACTACTGCTAAAATAGTTCATATCTCAGTAAGTGACAGAAAACCAGGCTGTTATGGTTAGTGAAAAAATTTAGGGCACAATATACTACCTAAAGACATTTTCCTTGTCTTCACATATCTATATATGTATACATATACATACATATATGCTATGCTATTTTATAATGTCTTCTGCCACTGTACACTGCTCCTCATTTACAACCATCAGAAAACATTATTTCATTATGCAAAGAGATATTTAAAAAAGCAAAAAGGTAAAGAAAGCTCCCCGAAAACTTTCTTTGAAGAAGTGGTAGTAAGAGAGAGTGCTTGAATAAAGAAGGAAAATAAAATAAATGCTGCAACCACTTTTACTCAGAGACTACTTCCTTTTTGAGGTAAAATGATCAAGAATTCCTCTGTGGTATTCCAAGGAAATTTTCTTCTTGTACTTGTTTTTTTTTGAGAAACAAGGTCAGTCTTTCCATAGCTCTTTCTAAATGAAAGAGATCTTTCGCTCTCCTACCCAACACTATAGAACTCCTGAGAGTACTGCATTATTGATGGAGATGTTGCAGATCTGCACCACAGCTTTACCCTATTCTTCAGAATGATTTCAAGGCAATCTGTCCTTTGAGTCTAACTGTTCTTTCAGCTCAATCACTTCTTTCTATAAATCCTCAGAAATCTCAAGATGGCTTTCTATTACATGGGAAAATATAATTAAAAAAAAAATAAAAGAGAAAATCAACCAACTAAAAAAAAACAAACCACAAACGAACTAAAATACTTACACAATGAGAGATAAATTAATGTCTTCTCCAGAAATATGATCAAGCTCTCAAAGCAAAAGTATCAATTCCTGCATAAATCTGGCTTTTGGAAAATATGCATGGCATTATTTGAAACTACTGATAAAATGACATCTCTTTAAGGCTCTATGAAAAATAAAAAACCTTAAGTTTCTCATAGCTCAGTTTTTTCTCTTTAGCATCAAGTTTTTTTAGGCGCAGTTGGTTTTTTTTAACATGTGACCATGAACACTAGTAACAACTGGAGTACCAGCCATGAGAAAAAGGACAAGGTTTACACAGCAGTTTTCTCACACACTGACCAATGGGCTGTGAATTGACTTTCAAAGGAATGACCACTCATCGTAATCACTTTCCAGAACTGTTTTAAAACTTTTAAAGTTTCCATTTATTTTCAATATCAAATCAACATGCATCGCAAGTTGTCCAGCAAAAAGAGACAATCTTTTTAATCAAAGTGTCTCAGTGCCACCATGGTAAAATCCCTCTAAATATCTACAATGAACATATGAAAAAAACATTAAGAAATTTTTATGCAAATAATTCCTTATTTCAGAAACCAGCTTCTCTCCAAGGAGATTTTGCATTTATTTTCACTGAGTAACAGTAGTCAATATTTTATGGCAAGGCTAAATGTCCATCTTCAGGTAGATGACTTAAGCTCCAAGCAGAAAAATATATACCACTTCTTGGGAAGTCACTCACTGGCAATTTTGGGTGGTTGCATATCTGAATAAAATATGTGACTAAAAATGACCTTGTGTTTTTTTGGTTTTTTTCCTTCATTAGTATCTTCCTGCTGTGACAACAGAGATTCTATTTTTTTTAATTTTTAGTCTCTATATTCCCACAGTTTTTCCTCTAATTTTAATGTATTCCTGCTTCTGCAGAGATCACAGAAGAATAAATTGCCAGTAAAGTGACCATCTCACATTTTGTTCAAAAGAACTGAAAAATGAAGGAAATTATGACAGCACTTAGGATGTGGTAGCATAATGAAAATAATATATAAACAACTACCGCACACTAGCATGATTATGACTCAAATAATGCAGATGAGATTTTGCATGTTAAAATAAACTATTTTAAATTAAAAGTATATATCTTACCTATTAATCTGAAATCAAAAATTTACAAGTGTCTGTCTATACACAAAACACCAAATAGAGTTGTGTTTCTTTTTAAGATAGTGAGTGAAATGAGAGCTAGGAAAGCAGGAAATTCATTCTTAATCCATTTGCTAACTTGTTCAACTCACCTTTCATATGAGGAGATGGTTTGAATTCTTATCTGGGTGCTGTTGCCTGTGCTCTCTTGAGCGTCTTCTCAAACAGCAACTTATTAACAGTTATGAATAACACCCTAGGAAGATTGACAGAAAATGTACACACTATCATTGAGAAAAAAATTATTTTCATACATCTTCGAAAATACGCTATTCTCTACCTCCATCTACTGGAGAATTATTAACAACTAACTAACTCTGAAGGTTTTTTTAATTCTTCCTCAATGCATCTGTTATTTTCAAGGAAAGCTAAACCCCCGTTCAGGGATAAGAAAGACTACATGCAATGTCCCTCAAAAATAACATTTTAAGGATAATCATTAGCTCAGTCATTTCTGTTTGCATATAACCATTCTTATAAATATCTAAAGTTGTAAAAAATTTAGTGACTTAAATTCATTAGTAATATTTTTTTAAAAGGACAAACAAAAAAGCAAAACAAACAATCAAACAAAACCCCATAGCAACACCTCTTAGGCAATAGAGTCCCTAGATACCTTCAGCAGAACTAGTGAACTTCCCTACATTCCAACACTTCCATAAATGTGTCTATCTATATTAGTAGTAAATTTAATTCAATAAAGAGTACAGCAAAACAAATAGTGCTGAGGACCTTGGCATCCATATTGCAAGCATTTTCCAGTGTTTTACCCCAACCTAGTCATAGGCTAATTCTATTTACTGAAAATCCTTCAGCAGATTAAATAAGCTTTCTCTGGCAAAGTATAATTGGAAATACACCCATTGTGTACATTTTGAGAACCCTACATGGATGGCACTTCAGCACAGAGTACAAATGAGCAATTTACTCAAAAATGGACAAACAAGGGGAAAAATTACCCTTCTGGTCTGAGCCATAATGTATAATGCAGCCATGCTGAGAGATACCACTACACAAGAAAAGCTAAGCCACCCACAACCTATCTTTTGCTTTGTGCCATTTTAAACTTAGGTTTTGTTTCCAAAGAGGTCACATGTCAGCATGTTTGCAACCAGCTCCCTTAACAATGCCCAGCTGCACCACTTTCAGCCTAAAACACAGCATTCAATGCCACCTTGATTTAGTACTATTGTTGGAAATGCTGAAACTATATCATTGTACCTATTTTGGACAGAGTGTGTGACCTGTATTACATGTCTTCCTAAAGTTCAGACTACAAACCCACACCCTCTGTTTTCCTAGATGACCAGGACACAAGTGCTTTGGATGAAGAAGGGGTGATATGCTTATTAACCCAATTGTTATTATTCCAATTATGATTATCTCCTCTGGAAATTGAATCACTTTTTCAGAAAAGAAACCCAGGCTCAGAGAATTAGAAATAGGAAGGGAAAAAATGGGGAAGGAAAAAAACATAGTCTTTATTAAAAATGAGAAAGGGTTTTGCTTTTAAGACCCATGAAATAAGAGAAATCTATAGTATGAAGCATATGAAAGAAATAAGAAAAATTGTAATTTTTCTTTGAAGAAAAAGCAATGTCAATAATTTAGCTGAGTTTATTTCATTACATAACATATAAAACACATCTTTAATTGCAAAAACCTAAGGAATAACCACTGAATAATTATTGATACTGCTTATGGTTTGCATTTTTGCTTGCAAAAAAACATTTGAAAGAAATAGAATCATATGAAATTACATAGGAAATGCAATCATATTAGACAGGTCATATTCCAATTACTCTTAGAAGCTACTTAATTCACAGAACTTTATGAAACTATCAACATGTAGAAAAATTATGTGGTAATTAAAGAGCTGATAGAAGAATTGAGGAAAAATTGTCATGTAGAAATATCAAAATAACATGTGCATTACTTCCAAAGTTTTGGGGTTTTTTTTCCCTGTTCAGGTAACTCACTAACTGTAGGTTACTCTACCACATATCCTAGAGGCCTGAAACTCCAAATTTCCTTTCGGGAAAGGAAACAAAGTTTCCTTTCGGAAAGAAAAGGAAAACTTGCAAAACAGAAAAGAAAGGCTCCCAAAGACTCTGGAAAGGAGATACGATCAAGTGAAACGCCATTGAGAAAAAAAAAAATGGGAAATTGGGAAATGCAGTGAGCACATGAAAATGGTCTGGGAGCAAATGAGGTGCAGTGGAAAGGGGCAAAGGATGCCAAAACAAAGATCAGAGATGCTGCAAAATCAGGGGGAAAATCAAGGAGGAAGATAGAATGTGCTTTGGCCCATAGCCCTGCACTTGCTGGCATGCCATGCCTTTTGCTGCCTTTGGATTGGGTGGATATTTTTGAAATTTTTTTTTGCTCTCCATGCCATTTCCCGTCTGTCTCGCCCTCAGTGTTCTCCCTTCCTCCTTGATTTTTCCCCTGATTTTGCAGCATCTCTGAGCTTTGTTTTGGCATCTTTTGCCCCTTCCACTGCACCTCATTTGCCCACAGACCATTTTCTTGGGCTCACTTCATTTCCCAGTTTGTGAGTTTGTGAGCCCCACACAAGCAGTCCTTGAGATCAATGATCACAGGTGGTCAATCCCTCAGAACCACTGAGAGAGATGGAAGTCCAAGTCAAAGTGATCCCACTTCTTCAATGACCTCATTGATTTTTCTGAGGTCATGGAGCAATCTCCATGAGTCAGAAGATTTCTTGTGGATCACAAACACTGGAGAATTCCAGGGACTAGTTGTTGGTTTGATGTGACCTTTCTGCTATTGTTCCTCAACCAATCTCTTGAGAGCACTCAATTTCTTTTCTTCAAGGGGCCACTGATCCACCCAAATGGGATCATCTGTCTTCCATGTCAGCTTCAAGGTGGTGAGTACCACAGTGACCACTATTAAAAATCCATTTCTATTTTCATTCCCCATTGTGATAAAATGTCTCTTCCCCACACCGCAATGGGCCTCTGCACAACGAAGGGACGAATGATGGCTGTCTTCCCTCCTGGCCCTGAAACGACCATAAGTTTTTCACTTTGCAGGCATAATGTGTTTCCTCTGATGCCTGAGAGGGCACCCAAGGGTGTTCTCAAAGTCCATTCTCTTGGCTAAAAAAGGTATGAAATGACTGTGACATCTGTACCTGTGTCCAACATGCCTCTGATTGAAATCATTTTGTTGCCGCATGTCAAGTTGCAGACGATCACAGGTTGATCATGACCTATCTGTTTCACCCGAGTGGCATGAATGTCCACGTCTTCATTGATAGGTAAAACTTGTTGACCTACCACTGGCATGATCTGTTTTGTCGCATGAGGTGCCAAAGCAAGAACTTTGGCTACTGGAGTACTTTCCGGAAGGATTAATGGAGGACGTAGAGCTCAAGCTAAGACTGTTAATTTTTCATTTTGATTTGCCAAGATAATTGATAGATAAACAATGAGCCCAAAAGTGCTGCATCTGTCTTTACCTATAATTGAAAAGTCTTTCCTTTTCCATGTTGTTCAGTGACCTCCGTGTGGATCCCTGCATGATCATCATTTAAAATGCACAGAAACTGGGTGGCTGCCAGTTCGCATTGTGTGCCTGGGGGTAGTAACTCTGGATCGCTGGGGAAGTGGCAGATGGTCCTGCTGATGGAATCTGATTGAAGTTCCCCAATGGTTGTGTTGCCACTGAGGTTGGGAACCCCTGTGGACTTCCCTGAAAAGGCATCACCATCACTTGTGTCATAGCATGTTGATATCCTGCGCTCTTGAGTTTCCTGGAATGGGTAGGGATTTTCCATCTATGTCTGTTTTGGAATAGAATTGATTTGCATTATGCTTTCCTTTTCTGCATCTGAGACAAACACTTGATGTCTTTGTGCCTTTTATTAGTTCTGGACAGTTCTTCCTCATGTGCCCATGCTTTCTGCGTTTGAAGCATGACCCCTCAACCGGTGTTGCCATCACCTGTGTAGGACTGGCCAGCTGAAGAGCTGGATGAAGAGCCTCAAGTGTTTTTGAAAATTCTTCATGCTGCTCTTAAAGGATTCTTCTGACCTGTTCCGTCCAAACTTCTGCTTGAATTGCTGCAATGTGTTGAGGTGTGCCTGCCTTGCTGCATGCTCCTATCATGTCTGTTACTGTTGGTTGGTCAGGCAGGGCACTAATGATCTGTTTGCATTCTGTGTTGGCATTTGCAAATACGAGGTTTCAAAGCAAGTGTGGCTTTGCCACTTCATTACTGACTTGTCAGTCCAATGCTTGTGTGAGATGATCAATGAATGAACTGAAAGACTCAGAGAGACCTTGCCTCACTTCTGTGTAGATACCTTCTGGAGTTCCAACTGGCTGAATTTGTAGAATTACCTTTTGAGCTGCTTCCCTGATGTCTGCAAGCCCGTCTCAAGGCAATCCCACTGACTGGTCTTCAGGTTTATCGTGTGGTGCATCTCCTGCCAACTGAGCCAATGTGAGACGTGTGTGTGGCCCTCCTGCATATCTGTTTCTCAGCTGAGTGAGAGCTCTTCACCATCTCACATTCCACAGCATGAGTTGTGAGTCTGTAAAAATTGACAAGGCAATATATCTGCAGCCATAAGGCACTAAGTTGTAATTGCTGAAGATTCCTCTCAAAAGTTGTTTGAAATATGTGAACCAAGTCCTTTATTTTTTGAGGCTTGTAATAAGTCTTTCAAGATTTCATGAGTCATGGATTCGTATCTGGGGTTTTCATCTCTTCTCTCGTACCTCACTGGCATTGCAAAGCTGTCTGTATCTAGTATGCCATAGTCTTTATTTCATAATGCTGTCCTCCTGATATTTGCTCAGTTCATCAATGAAACATCTCTTCAGCTATTTCTGGGAATAGGAGCCACATCTGGTGGGGTTGCCATTTGCCTGGATGCAACTTCCTCCGGCCCAAAGAGATGCATACATTTCAGGCACCCCTCCTGCTTCTGTTTGAAGGGAGGTAAAAAGGCTATCAGGTTCTGGATATTGAGGAGCTGAAGAGGCAGTAACTGCACTTGCTGTATGTGTTGATGATGAAGTGAATGGAAGAGAGTGAGTTCCATGCTTTTGTTCTGAAAAGCAATGAGCAAACTTCTGAAGCTGGAGAAAAAGTTGTTTTATAAAATCCTGAGAAAGTGAAAAAAAATCTTTGTTGAGTTGAACTGGACTTTTGACCTGGAAGCCAAGTCTTTGGAGCAGGCATATAAAAAGCTGAAGCATCTCTTGATGTCCAGAAGCCAGCTGGTTCTTTAGATGAAATAGGAATGCCTTGTCCTGCTGTGATGGAGATAACATTCTTGTTGCTGTTCTCCTGTGGTTGTTGTTGTGGATCATCCACGGCTTGAGTGCTGGTGTCCTGTCCAGTGTGTGAGGTGTCTTGGCTTGGCATGCCCATTTTTCCTGGAATGATGTAGTGTGTCATGGTCTTCTTCTGCAAGGCATGCTCTGAGGACCTCAACTGATCGCGGACGATTCTGTATACCCTGCATTAAAATGATCTTGCATTGTTTTTCCT